GATTTCTGATTTCTCACAGTACGAACACATTCAATAAAGAGCAGGCAAAATTATTTGATTCTGTTCTTGAAGAATTCGAAACCATGTCATGTTTGGGTAGGCTATTGTCTGTTTCTTACCCACCGGATCCGTACGATTCTCGGTTTTCAGGTTATAAGCTGTCTTCTCTACGGCGAAATCGGAGACTGAGATGGCGATTCACGGCTTTAGACCCAGATTCTTCCTCCGCACCTTCCTCTCTCGACTCAGATTCCGCCGATAACTTCGCTGCCGGGTAATCAGATTATCGACAAGACATGTGAAATTACAAATCCGGGATTTGTTGTTGTTGTGTTCGATTTGAGTGGATTAGGACCTCTGTTTCTTAGGGTTTTAGTGACACGGAGTTTGATTTGTTTTTTTGGTGCAGATTTTGTATCATAGAAGGGCCTGAAACAGTACAGGACTTTGCTAAAATGCAATTACAAGAGATTCAAGATAACATTCGAAGCAGACGAAACAAGATCTTCTTGCACATGGAAGAGGTAATAACATCTTGAAAACACCTTTTCAGTTTCTAAAAGTGGAAACCTTTTTTTAAAGTTTCTGAAAGTGGCTTCTTCTTGTTTAACTGTTTTATATAGGTAAGGAGGCTAAGAATACAACAACGGATTAAAAACACTGAACTTGGCATTATCAACGAAGAGCAAGAACACGAATTACCCAATTTCCCGTCTTTTATCCCATTCTTACCTCCATTGGTAAGTTTCAATGCCCTTGCAATAGGATTCTTTTTGTTGAATTGATCATAAATACTGTTTGGTTTGACAGACTGCTGCAAATTTGAAAGTCTATTACGCGACTTGTTTTTCACTCATCGCGGGGATTATCCTATTCGGTGGCCTACTTGCTCCTACGGTAACTGCTTTGCTACACTTTCTTTTTCAAGATTGGCATTAGATTTACTTTGTAGTCTCTAATATAGTTTTCGTTTGTAAAACTCGGCAGCTAGAGCTAAAGCTAGGTATAGGAGGAACATCATACGCAGATTTCATTCAAAGCCTTCATCTACCTATGCAACTGAGGTTCAATACTTGTTTGGTTTCTTTCAACTGTGATATCCGTATCGGTTCCTGTATATTATCTCTTGATGTCTATACATTTTCTTGATATAATGATAGTCAAGTGGACCCAATAGTAGCGTCGTTTTCCGGAGGAGCGGTTGGTGTGATTTCGGCTTTGATGGTAGTCGAAGTCAACAATGTAAAGCAGCAAGAACACAAGAGATGCAAATACTGTCTAGGAACTGGTATCATTGATTCCTCTGCTTCTTCTTGCTTTCGGGAAAAAAAAAAGAGATTTAGATTTGTTTATAACAATGTTTCTTGTATAAACACAGGGTATCTAGCATGTGCTCGTTGCTCTAGCACAGGTGCTCTTGTATTAACTGAACCAGTCTCAACTATTGGTGGTGGGAATCACTCTCTATCGCCGCCCAAAACTGAAAGATGTTCAAACTGTTCAGGTGCCGGAAAGGTAAAACACACAAAAACCAAAACCTTAAAACTTTAGATATGGATGCTGAAGTTGTATGTGTTTGATGTTCAGGTGATGTGTCCGACATGTCTATGCACAGGAATGGCTATGGCGAGCGAGCACGACCCTCGTATCGATCCTTTCGATTGAATCTGCAGTATGTTCCACTCCCCCCCCCCCCCAACAGTATCTTTCTATCACTGTAACTAAAAATGGTATGTATTGATGAATAATAATAATTAGAATTGCATCCATTCATCTGTATATACACACACACACAAGTGAAGCGACCCTGCACCATCGTAAACAAACAACTCGAAAACTGGCATGTTATGTACGTCTCGTGATATAAAACGGCACGTAATGTTTGAATATATTTTGGCACTGTGAAAAATTTGCCAATTTGGTATCTATATAGCAATTTCCCCACTAAAAAATCAAAATATAACGAACACATAAAGATGTATTAATATATATTTAGCTTTTTCTATAAACCAACGATTCTTATTCTTTGAATAGGCGAAACACTACACAAGCCTCAACTCCTCCAAAATTTACAAGAACAGAGAAAG